CCCACATCGCTCCCCACGTCGAGCCGCTCGTCGCACGTCGAGGCCATACCTCGCGTCATTTCTCCCCACGACTGTCGCACGACTCGTTTTGAGTCGTTAAAAGGCTTGAGGCAACGAGGCCTTCGGCCTCCTCTCTTCACCACGAAAATCCTCTCGCGAACGCTCCCTCTCCTCCCGAGCTCGCTCTCCCCCTGCGCTCTCGACTCTCTCCTTTCCGATCGAATAGGAAGTTACGACACTTTGATCGGTAGCAACAACAGGAGCTCACCGGCTGTGAAGTTAACTTTCTCCCCTTCCGCTTCTCCTCCGGCTCCACCAGGGCTGTTCGACTTTGCTCCTCCGACGTACCTTCCAGTCGGATCGAAGTTACGACATTTTGATCGGAGCCGGGAGCAGGCGCCCGCTCTCTTTGAAGTTAACTTTCTCCCTTTGGCGCCGCCGCTCCGGCCCTCCATGGTTGTTCGACGTCGCTCCTTCGTCTACGTTTCCCCCTCTCCGATCGGAAGCAGCAACGGGAACTCGCTCTGTGTGAGGGTAACTTTCTCCCTTCTCACGCACATCTTCGGCCTAATCCCGTAAAAAAACAAAAAAAAAGGATTTATTATTATTATTTAATTATAATTATATTAATTAATTTTAATTAATTATAACAATTGTTTTTAATTAATTATATTTATTATAATTAATTATGCTTAATTTTAATTAAGTTGTTATAATTAATCTAATTAATTATAATTAACTTTAATTAGAATTAAATTTAATTAATTATACAATAATTAATTAAAAATAATTTCTTAATTAATTTTAATTAATTGATATTAATTATAATTAATGAATGCTTAAAATGTGCTCGCTCACCTGCCTCGATCCCCGAGCCTTCACCGACATCACCGACAGTCCCCGCCGATCCCGAAGGTATAACCCCTAGACGAGCCTTCCCTCTCGACGTTGGCGACGAACTAGCAAACCCCCGAGGCGCCCACGTGGCGTTGTAGGGAGGGAAGCTAGTGCGACGCCTACGACGAGGAGGAAATCGCATAGATTCTTTTCTCGACGCTTGCAACGAACTGGCAAACCCCCGAGTCGCTCACGTAGTGTTTAGGGTGGGAAACCGGTGCGATGCTCGCGACGATTTAAGAATCCCTCTTCAAAGCTTGCAAAGAGCCGGCAAATCCCCGAGGCGCTCAAGTAGCGTTTAGGGTGGGAAACCGGTGCGGCGCTTGCGGTGAAGGGGATATAAAAAAAATTGTGTTTTCTTTATTTTTATAGAAGTACCCCCGAACGCCCACGTGGTGCAGAGGGGGGAAATCTGCTTTTTTCTGACTCATGCTCCACACCCTTAAACGCTCACGTAGCGGGCAGGGATTTTTGATAAAATACGCGACCGCGGTGTCACTTTTGACATCTATCTGAAGCGCTCACGTAGTGTCGAAGGGAGGTTGCCTCTTGGTTTTTCCCCTAAACGGAGGAGATGCCGGGAGGCTGCCGAAATTCAGACTTAAGGCACCGTGGACTTGAACAGAATTTTGGCCTATATGTGAGCAAGTTTTGGACATAAAAGAACAAGAACCTGCACTCAAATGAACAATGAGTAGTGGACTTTTGAACTTGATTGAACAAGAGCAGAGGACCTGAACAGAATTTAAATGATTTCTAAAGTTCAAATTCAAGCAAAAATAAAATCCAAATGGAACGAAATTCAAATCAAATGAGCATAACTTAAACTTGCAAGACGAGCAAGGACATGGACTAAACATTTGAACTTGAAGACAAGGGACTGCAGGGGACTTGAACAAGACTTGGAATAAAGATTTGGACTCAGACTTGAACTTAAGCTCGATCCAAATTTGGTCTGAACAATCATACAAAAGCTCCAACTCAAATTAAAATCCTAAGTACAATTCGCTTGAGAAATGGACAAGAATTTTTACCTGTAAGCTATGGTATAAAACCTCCAATGCTAGCAACAATTGCATGTAGATTGAGATGGCAATGCCGGCATTCGATAGTGGAGGATTCGCCCCTACAAGCGAGTACAATTAGCAAAACCACCTGAGATTGGTGAAAGGTGGTTTCAATGCAAAAGCAAGGGTTCTCTTACGAATACTACTAGGAGGTCGTAACGGATACAACTGATCTCCAGCAAATGAATACTTGTGGATAACAACAGTGTGTATGTCGTATGTACAACGAACCACTGTGGACACAAGCACAAACATCACCTACGACAGCGGTGACCCAAATCTCCAAGTATGTCAGGTATAAGAATGACTCGATGTACAAAAAGTACACTTCCTTTGCAGAATCAGAAAGGAAGTTTGAACAAATTAGAACCAAACTTCCTGGTGTTCCAAAGTCTCTTCGTAGTTCCATACGTGAGAGGAAAACAGTTCTGGTATCCACAAATATCAAAAATGACAAGTCAACTACACTAATGATCTTAAAAGGAGTTCTCTTCGAAGCAACAAATTTCAAAGTCCAGAATAACTCCCCGGTGATTGAGAAAGGGGAGTCAATGTCAAGATGAGGAAATACCTCATGACATCCAAATAACCATTCCACCGGATCTGCAACACTGATACAAGCAGACAGAAGACGTCCACAACTACAACGCTACGCCACCGGATCTACAACACTTCTACTAGCAGGCAGAAGGCGTCTACAATCTACAACTCAACGCCACCGGATCTGCAACACTTCTACTAGCAGATAGAATGCGTCTACAATCTACAACTCAACGCCACCGGACCCGCAATATCCATGCAAGCGGGCAGAAGGCGTTTACAAAATATTTCAAAGTACCCCTGCACCTGCACTATAGTTTGTATACACATATGTACACAATGGGATACATCTAAATCAATATAAAAATCATCCGCATGGGCCCCGGCGAGCGTGTTATTGGTACACACGTGACGCCTAGGGATGCTGCGCGGGGAAACAAGTGAATTCAAATTCGAACCCGATCCTTCTATACGGATCAATAGAAGTCGACAGGGTTCGAACCTTTAAACGAATACACGGTTGTGACGATCAGTGTATTTGTTTCAATACATTCGTATTAGGCATTCCAGGCCTACAATCAAAAGAATTCACTAAACAAAAGGCATGAAGCCTACGAAACCTGATCCTCCTAAACGGAGAAATAGGAGTAGACAGGGTTCGAGATATCAAATAAATATGCGGTCACGAAAGTTGACCAGAATATTTATCTTATATATTCATATTCGGCTTTCAAGGCCTTTCAACAAAGAAAATTCATGAACAAAGGCAGAAAGCCTACGAGAAACCCGATCCGCTATCATTAAGTTGATAGGGTCGACAAGGTTCAATCAAATGGAAATGACCCCAAACACCCCGATGATGACCGTGTTGATTGCTTATCTCAATCGGAGGGGTTCACAATACATTTCAAAAATGCCCTCAAACCTTTACAAAATCCAAATATTTTTCAAGTGACCTCAAGGTCACCCCGATGATGGTCGTGTTGAATGCTAATCTCAACCGGAGGGGTTCACAAATACTTTAAAATGTCTCCCAAAAGTCCATTCAAAATCCAAGCTCTACCCAAAAAACCCAAAACTCTATAAATCCCAAATTCCAAGATATTTAAATCTGAAATAAATCCATCAATATCTTAAAGCAAAATCCATCCACCCTCCGTAACCGTTTGCCGGGGTGGTCAAATCAAAATTTACTTCAGCTCACAAAGAGCAAAATGCCTAGTCGAAAATATTACTAGGATCCATTCTCAAAACAATCTCCTGCCAGTAAAGACGTTGTACGTGTTCTCTAACCGGCGGTTAGCCGCCAAATGGCACCGCAGGATAAACGGTTACAACGACCCGGGCCCCTCTGAACCGAGTGGTTTTGCCGCCAAATGGCACCACGATATACCGGTTATGGCCAGAGCCAATACGTTCCTTATTGGCATCAAATCCTTGAAATATGAATCAATAGGATATGATTGATAGGGCACAAAGCCCTCTGTCAGCTAAGGTGGATTCAAATTTGTCCCCTTAGACAAACATTCAACCCCGGTCTACAAGGTCCCCTTGGACGAAGCAACCCATGGCTGCCGACAATGATCCTTCTGTCAGGTTGGGTCGACTACCTCCTCTGACTAAGTAGACCAGGGACCACGACGGCCCGGGACGACGGAACCATGGGATCTTGATCGGGTCCATCATCCATTCCCCCACCATCCGCTTTAAGTGAACGATGGTGAAATTTCTATTTTAAATATCAAACTTCCAAACATCCAAACTTTCTAAATTCCCAAATTCTTCAACTATTTCCAAACCCAAACCCATGCTGCTACTATATGCCAGATGCACGTATCTCTATACGAATCTGATTGATGACTAGCCTTAATCGAAAGTTCTCTCTCGTGATCGGGAGGGGTAATTAACTATAGGGGCTTGCGCCTATAGGAAACCAGAACTCAGATCATAAAGTTCTCGCAAAATGAGGGCGAAATCTCTGGGTAGTGTCTTATCTACAAACCCTTTATATCAAATTTATATATTTATATATAAACAAAATTTTTATTAAATATAAATTAAAATCGAAGATTGAAGATGTTTATATTTAAATTTAAAATTAGTAATTATTTATATTTAAATATATAATATAAATATAATAATTATTTATATTTAATTTTAAAATTATGTAATATATTATATATGTATGAATTTTATTTATTTTTTAGTCTAAAAATTCTTAGAATTATTAAATTTTTAAGAATAAATTGTCATTAGTATTATGTTAATTTTATTACTTTTAATTATATTATTGTTTATTATGTCATCCGGTTCGATCGGTCAAACCGGTCGAACGATGAACCTCTCATTATTCCGGTTCGTTGTCCGGTCTTGTATATAAGTGTAAATATTCATGGATGGAAAAATAAATATTGCTATGTTCGTGGGTTTTCATGGATTCTGTCATATTCAATCTGTCTTGTGGAATCTAAGTCCTTTTAATATTTGTTCAAGCAGGTGGTTGCTGATAAGAAAGCCAAGGTTGAGAAGCCTAATTCCACGCAACAATCTTTATCAGAGTTTTCCTCTAGAAGAGGGAAAAATTCGGCTACATTGTTAAGGCCTGTAAGGGATGGAAATGATTGATTCTTAAGCTCATTTTATCTGATGACTCTTCAATTTTTTTTAACAATTTACCTTATGTAGGTAATTTGCATCTGCAATGACCTTTATGCACCAGCTTTGAGACCACTCCGCCAAATTGCAAGGTGAGTTCCTTGATATAGCTGGCAAGACCAACATTGGATATATTTTCAGATTCATTTAGTAATTTTTTTGTTGCTTTCAGCTTATGTTGCATTGCTTTATTTTGTTTCTTTTACAGGGTCCACATGTTTGTGCAGCCAACAATAAGTCGTGTGGTGAACAGGTTTGAAGAAAATTAAACTGAAAAGTTGATGTTAAAGAAGTTCATTTTCTCTCTAGAATAACATTACCATAATTTTTTCATCCTTTAGGATGTTTTCACTTGTGCAAGAAAATCTCATTTTTATTGACAGAAATCATTCTTGATAGGCTTAAATATGTTTGCCAAAAGGAAGGATTGAAGACAAATTCCATAGCACTTGCAGCCCTAGCAGAATATACTGGTTGATTTATTATCTTTCTCCCATGTTATCCATTGGATTTTTTACATGCATAAAGCCTTCTATAGTGGGAATTCTATTTGGAAATAAAAAAAATGGAATTATGAAGTTTGTTAGGTTTCTGGTATTTCTTATGTCAGCTATTCCTATGAGAGCTTATCTTCATTCTCTTGACAACCAAAAGTTTTGCAGAATGTGATATACGCTCGTGCTTAAACACGCTTCAGTTCTTGAACAAGAAGAAAGAAACCCTGAATATTGTAAGACTTCATCTTTCTTATTGGCCTTGTTCTTTTTTATTTACTTTGAAAATATCGTTTCATCTTCTTTTTCAATATTCAGTTGGAGGTTGGTTCCCAAGTAGTTGGTCACAAGGATATATCGAGGAGTTGCATTGATATATGGAATAAGGTATTCAGTTGTTTCCTTGCCTTGTCCTGATCATTTTGATTGCCTTCAATAGTTATAATTTGTCACATATTTTTGCATTTACGAAATATTGCATGTGCGCAGATTTTTCAAAATGGTAAATCCAATCGCGCAAAGAGTTCAACAACTAACTTAAATGGTCATGGGGATTTTGAGTTTATGTATTCCCTATTATCTAACCGGTAAGACAGATATTGTTGCTTTAAAATAGAAAATTCTCTTTTAAAATGGCCAAATTGATAATAAAGCATATATTATTTTCTCTTTTGTTTTCCATTAAGACTTTAAGCAATTTGCAGTGGTGATTATGACTTAACTATGGGCGGTATTCATGAAAACTTCTTAAGACTTTCTTACATTGATCCAATGATGATAAAGACTGTAAGTTTTTTTTTTTTTTGGATAAATTCCTCATGTTCTTATTCAAATGGTTATTCTCATTGACATTCTCCATTATACTGGCTGCTCAATTGACCGTGTCCTTGAAGGTTACGTGCCTTGATATGCTTGGTGTTTCTGATTCGTTGCATCAGTATATTATGCGAACTCAACAGATGTCACTTAATGGTTACATTGCACTGACTTCTCGAATTTATGCCTGCATAGCCATTTAATACTTAGATTCGATAATATCAACCTTTTTGTCTTCCCTCAGCTTTTCAGCCTCCTTTTGCAATAGCTATCAAACGCTTGATTGCACTTGTTGATAAGCCAAATATTGAATGGCCAAAGTCTATACAGAGGTAGAATACACTTGCAAATCATTCATCAGTACTATTGCATAGATTAACTTCAATGTCTTTTAGATACCGAGCAATGTCTTTGGAGAGGAAAGACTTGTTGAAGAACTGGCAAAGCAAAATATCACCAATTATCTCTAGGCATCTTTCAACTGAGTATTTTGCCGAAGATTTCGTCTCTCATTTTTTGCATATCCTAGTCCCTCCAACTTTGAGGCCTGTAAGTTTATAACAATTTATTCATGTTACCAGTTTGCTTTCCATATTTAAAATTCAATCAAATTAAAATCTTGGTACATTAAGAGAGAATCTCCTACTTTGCAAGCTCGTGCTATCTCATTAATTTCTTTATCCACATGCTTACTGATGGGGTTGTTTCTTAGTTCCTTCTAGATAGCATTGCATCTATTTTCAGAAAGGGAGAAAGATGATCTAGCTCAGCTGGTGGATACTATGGTTTCCTATTCCATTACATACAAGAACTCCAAAGCTGAGCCCTTAAAGGGTGCTCATAACAATGGAACCGCTAAGGATGTCTCTATACTCATTCTTGACCCCCCAATTGGTGACTTCATTAACTTTAAGGTCTTCTTCTTCATAGTGTTGTTTTCTTAGTTATAAATCAAGTTTTAACATTATCTTTACCAATTGTTCACTTTATTTGAGCAGGACTATCAACCAACACATTTAGAATTATCTCTAGCCATGAAGCAGGTTTTGTTGCATGAGGTATGACATCACTATGAATTTCATATAAAGGGTTACTTACGTGGTGTCTAAATCATGTCATTCTTTGCCGGTTGATAATTTGCCGAAATAATCAATAGGACTACAATATATATGACCTGATATAGAGGCAGAAAACAAGCTTTTTGGCTACATGGTGTTGTTCACAATGTGTCATCCCATTATTATCATAAACTAATTTAAAAATCTTGTGCTTGCTAATCCAACTAGGACTAATATGATGTGATCCTTTAATCCTTCTCTACATAGTTATCTTTCTATCATACTAATAAAGAAAGTTGGTTAACAGGTCGAGAAACAAAGAATACTGCGTGAAAACTCAGGAAGATCATTGAATCCTGGTAATGAATGTAACAAGGACAGCCAGGATTCAACTATTACCAAGTTAGAAGTATTACATGACATCATCACTAAATCTGCATCCGTTAAGGGTAATGATAAACCCAGATTGGCAATGCTAAAGTTGGAAAATGAAGACAATCATAAAAATTTAAATTCAAAATCCAAGAAAATTGTTTCCAATACAAGCGTAACTGCAGAAGTTACTGGCGACTTGAAGAAGCCTAGCAGGCCAATTAGTTTCTTTGATAGGTAATGTTGTGTTTATAAATCGCCCTTTTAGCTTTGATAGGGCATTGCAATGCGTTTTACAAATCTTTAATGTTTACCTGTTTCATAATCAGATTTAGGCAAGGATGTAACATTGACTCAAAGAATCATGTCAGCAATTTACAAAAGGCTGCAACTGCTGAAAGAGATTCAAGGCCATTTCTCTTCAAATACAATGAGGTAAGTGCTTTTGTCGTCTCCATGATCAATAATTTCTTCAATACAAGGCTTTGTATGATGACGACCCCCACAAAATTCTAGCATAATTAAGTACAGCTTCAGCTCAATCCCATCCCATGCCTGAAAAACTATTGCTTGATTATCTTACAAAATTTAATGAGTTGGTTATTCTAAAAGTTGCCTATTGCAGGGCTTCACCAACGCTGTGAAGAGATCGGTGAAAATTCGTGATCTGCTGCTCTGATGCAATTATATTTTTTAAGCTTGTTATTAACTGTCCACTGTTCTCATTCATTTTATAATTTTGCTTTTATGTTTATGTTAATGGAAATTGTGTAAGCATTGGAATTTTAAGTTGTCTTGGTTTTGCAAATTAAATAAATAAATAAATGATAGCGTGAAAATATTGAAAGAGAAGAATGGCTAGGTTTAATCTAATATTGAAAATCATTTTTTATTGAAATTTGCATAAAAGTGGAAACTTCGAAACATTCGGAAAGATTTATAAAGTTGTCACATATGCATACTTAAAAGTCTCGTTTATATTAAAATAAAATATTTAACTGGTAAAATAGCATTTGTATCTTCGCAAATCAATGATTACTGAAATATTATTTTAAGATGTGCAACCAAATAGTCTAACAGGAATTTTGAATTTTTGTTAATTTATAATAATAATAAGAATATTATTGCAAATTACATATTATAATTTAAGTTCAATATATGTACACACGTGTGTACATGTTCTAAATTTATTTATGAATGGCATTACAAATTAAAATGTGCTTTAGAATTGTTAAAATTGTAACGTAAGGTCAAAAAAGTATGCTTTGAAATAATATATAATAAAAATAAATATACATAACAATTTAATGTTGATGGAAGTGCTCATCTTATAGAAAACTATAGGGTATTTATTCTTTAAGTATTAGATAAGTGATTATGATTTATAAGATATAATTTGTCAGAAGGCCGTGATATCTTTTGGATAAAATGTCAAGTACTTTTTTATAATGGTATAAAAAAGACACTTGCATATAATTATGGATATATGGATATATAAAAGTAAATTTATACATGGTGAATGTGAGCCTTGAGAGAAGGAATGAGGTTTGCAGAGGCTTGAAGGTTGGTCGGGATTGGAGGTTGCAAATAGGTTGCTGGAGCTCGTAAAAAAAATGGAAAGATTTTGTTCGGCCTCCTCTTAATAGCTAGAATGGGATTTAATCAAAATGACTGCATTGCCAGTGTAGAACGACAGCGTTTCAGCAGGATTTCTGTAGAGTAGCGGTTGACAGCGGGATTTTGGGGATTTTCTATCGACAGAATGAGATAAAAATTAATTGAGATGGATTTTTTTTGTTTGACTTCACATGATAAGATTAACTGACAATGTTAACAATGCACTACCATAATTAGTAATAACATTAATTAGGTTGACATACATGTTCCAATCAATTTGAAAGCATTCCGATTTACGTGTTTTCTCGATTCGCTTGCATTTTTCCTTGTTTAATACAACAACAACAACAACAACATCAAGCCTTTATCCCACTACGTGGGGTCGGCTACATGAATCCTTTTTCTCTATTGTGTCCTATTAAAAGTCAAATTCTCGTTTAAATCTAATAAAGAAAGGTCATTCCTAATATTTTCTAACCAGGTCTTTTTAGGTCTACCCCTACCTTTCTTAACAAAAGTCAAATCTAATACCTCTACTCTCCTAACCGGGTCATCGCAAGGCCGCCATTTTATGTGACCAAACCATCTAAGGCGACTTTCTCTAATCTTATCTTCTAAGGCCGCCGTTATATTTTTCCTTGTTTAATGTGTCAAATTTTTCGAACAGTCAAAATTGGATGAATTAATAGTGAATTTAGAATATTACTGATGTTCCAGTAGTAATGATGCAGTCCGTTTGTTGATCTGACATTGTTTTGTCACCGACAAGGCTAATTTTCTTAATATGCATATTTTGCCTTGACATTCATGTCACCACTCCGGATGATCCAAATTGAATATAGAAAATATAGTTCTTAAGTATTTGTATTATTCTGATCACAATGGAGAAATCTGTTTCACGAACAGACATCATTTAGACAACAATGAGGTCAAATTTCCTTAAAATTTGTGCTATTACATCAATATTCGTGCCTCCAATATGGATGCTTCAAATTGAATAAACAAAATATAGTTTTCAGATGTGACAATGTTCCGGACGCAACAGTGAAGTTTGTTTGTCGATCCGACGTTATTTGATCAGCCTCGCACTTTAATTTTTGGTGTTGGTCATCCCTTTTGACCGATCTCTTTCAGTTCGACTACAAGGGGCCCCGACATAGCAAAATTCGACATCCTGATCACAACGATGTCATGCATTTGGTAATCAGAGGTCGTTTGACCCTTCAAGTGACATGCGTCACTGAGGCGCTTATCGCTTTATTCACTAGTTTGGGTCCTTTTTGCGTGGTTAAAGGTATATAGGTCAACAAATGCCTCCCAACAAATGTAGTTCACGTCTAGAGCGAATCACGTTTGTTGTAATCTAGATGACCATATGGATCTCCAGATATTCACTATGAATGTCACACAGTGGTTCTATTTAGCGGATTCTAAGAGTTTGATTCGATGTCACGCTGATATTTTTATTTAGTGGATCTCCAAGAACTTGTTTGGATGTCACACTACTTTTTTTTTATAGATCTTTATATGTGTCTATAGGCAGTTGACATGTTGGCTTCAGTGGGGGCCCATAGGATAGTGATATAACACTTCGTACTTAGGTCTCTAGAGCATGACTTTGTAAATTGACATTAGTAGTTATCATTGCCACCACTTCGCCTTCTTCAGCAAATTTTTTGCTTTGGTTTATAACCTTTTTATATATGCTCAATATTTTTCCATCATCTGGTTGTATCTTGGAAAAATTTTAAATATTTATTTGGGAATCTCGGCATGCAGCGTGATGTCGACCCAAATAAATATTTAAAAATGCCCCCAGTCTTTAGGGAGATTTGTAGGTATCATCACGGGTGCTCATTCTATAGCTTTAAATCGAGTCTTGAGATCTTGATTCGTTCTGCTTGTCATAAGATTTACATGCCTTACGCCCTTTGCTCCTAGTTTTATCGGGCTTAATGAAGGGGTAGATGTCATTGACCTAAACCTTTTAGGTTTATACTGGGTCGGTGGCGGAAAGTGTAATATCAGAATCTGCTCCAGGATCGTCCAGGACGATCTGGGATCGTCCTGGGACGATCAGTTGAGAATTTGTTCCAGAATTTACCCAGATTTGCTCCAGGTGATTTTCTGTATGCATCGTCCAGGCCGATTGAGGCTTCGGCCAGGCCGATTGGCACTGTTCAAAATATCGGCCTGAAACAAGTTCTGGGAACCGTCCAGGACGATCCAATTTGGTATGATCGTCCTGGGACGATCTGGCGATCGGCCGGGCCGATCTGAGTATTATAAAGCAGAAATCAGTCGTTTTGAAGAGAGAGAAAATCAAAAAAATAAAATATTTTATTTTGAGGAGAGAGAAAGTCGAGGGCATTTTTGGAAAAGTTGATTTTCGGGCGACGCGGAGCCGTTTTCGTCCGAAGAGACTGTTCAGAATATTGTTGTACGCAAGGTAAGGCACATTCCGCCTTTCTCAATTTTCAGAACCGTCGTGTTTGGCGGTATTTTCTGTCCGGATTTTGTTTCCGTTAGCGATTTTCGTCCGTATCTTTTGATTGGTTCAGTTTTTACCGCGTAACTTTCTGTATATTGTTGACGTGCCGAGTGTGCACATTTTGGTTATTTTCTGAAGATTT